TTGCAGAAAAGGGCAATTTTATTAAAGCAAAGAGTTACAGTTCTCAAAGTGAAAGAGGACATCGAAAACTGGAATGTCCACTAGCTAAGGTGAGAAGCTTCTGTTTATATATTTTCCTAGTCTATCTAGGGACAAAAACTGTTGTCTACTGATACAGATCTCATTAGATTTACTTTAGCAACAGTATTTTTAAAAGCAGCTTATAATAAGCTGCTTAACATTTTAGACCACCTCTAAGTTTTAAACACAGTGGAGTTTGAGAAAAACTGTTACAGGCAGGGCTCAGCCAGGTACATTGAGAATTCTTGAATCAGGCACTGAGTGTTTGCATGCTGATGCTACAAATGAAAAAAGAGTCATAAAGAAATATGGCAGTATATTTCACAGCACCTGAAATTGAATTCAATAATTTTCAACATGCAGTTAAGACTAATTCTAATGTCTGAAATATGTTTATATCCATGGAAAATCCAGTTCTTTTGCATGAATTAAGCATATTTGAAAACAATTAAAAATAGATAATTTTCAAGCTAAATATTATGTCATTCATTAAAAGATTTATTAAATAGCAATTAACATGGTGGACTACAAAGGAGTTAATATTTCTATTATTTAAATGGACTGATGTCATCAGAATGAATCAGGTTTCTGAAGATTTCTTTTCATTTTGTAGATATTGTGGCATTACTGTATTTACCTTTATGTTGCCTTCAGCAGATCCTGTAACAAAGTACTCTTCAGTCTGATCAATAGCAATGGCTTTAACAGGAGAATCATGACTCTGGAAAAGCTGTCTCTGTTGTCGTTGATGGAGGTCAAATACATATGTAAAGCCTTTTCTGCCACATGATATTAGTAGCTGATGCTTTGGAGCATATGCTAAAACAGTTGCTCCACTATCATGGCAAATAAAAGCTGAAAGTTAAAAAAATAAGTAAAAACCATTTAACAGTATAAGAAACAAACTTCTGGCTTTCAGAACAGATTTGTTCTCCTGCCTGAAACAATTAAAAAATCAAATGATATATAGGAAACAATGGTTTTAGACATTGGGCATCAGACAATGAAGAAAAGTGATCTCTAAGAGATGGGAAACAAACTGGATGAGCCATATAACTACCTAGCTTATTGCCTATGGAGTGTTTTCTGGCCATGCCACAAGGAAAGGGAACCCAACTGAATTGAGTTCCTGTTCTCAGAAGACACAGTGGAAAACCTCATAATTTACCAGGCACAGGACAGAGTACTCAGAAGGGTTCCATCACAGTAGCAGGGCAACATTAACCCTATACCAAATGCTGCTTTGGTCCTGTTTAACAAAGGCCTCCAAATCTGTTTCCAAGTAACTTAGGCAAAATCTAACTGTTTCCAAGTAAATTAGTTCCAGAAAAAAGCTCAAAAATATTTACAAAATATGAAAATAATTAGCACCTAATAAAAGTAAAATTCACAATGCATGACATCTAATACAAAATTACCAGGCATGCAAAGAAGCAGGAAAATATAAGGAGAAAATCCATCAATTGACACTAATCCAGATATGACAGGAATGATAGAATTAGTAGATAAGGAAATTAAAGATCACTAGAAGTGTATTGCATATGTTCATGAAGCTGGATGAAACACTGAGCACATTAAATAGAGACATGAAAGATATTTAAAAAAAAAACCCGAATCAAAAGTCTAGAGATTAAAAACTACATGTATGAATGAAAAATAAACTGGATGGGATAAAGAGCAGATTAAACACTGTAAAAAAATAGTGAACTTGGAAGACACAGCAGTATAAATATCAGAAATATAAAATTACAACTAATATTTTTCTTTAAAAAAATCTAGCCTAACAAATCTTGGGGAAAAAAAATCTGTATAAAGCTCAAAGACAATATGGCATAATGATAGAGTGATGATTCAGGAGTTAGAATGCCAAGGTTTAAATTCTGGGTCTTGTCTGGATTTAAATATATATAACCTAGGTGAATTATTCAACCTAAGTCTGTTTCATCATTTATAAAAGACATAATACCACCTGCCTCATAGGTTTGTATGAAGATTAAATTAGCTAATGTATTCACAGCATGCATAGTACCTGGCACATAGTAAGTACTCAATAAAATTTAATTATTATTATTGTAGGAATCTAAATAAATCTAATTGCACAGAGGGATTTAAAAATGTTTTTTCTCTTTTCATTTAAATATATATATATATATATA